CTTCTCCCTCTCGAGACCACTGCCCCTGCTTGTGTTCCCTCTCTCGCTGTCTCTCTGTCAAAAAATAAATAAAATCTTGAAAAAGAAAAAGAAAAATCACCCACCCCCCATCTTTGCCCAGACGGGGAGCATCTTTTTAAAACGTCCATGTTAGGGGAGACCCAGCGGGCTCAGTCGGTGGAGCGTGTGACTCTTGATCTCAGAGTCGTGGGTTCAAGCCCCACATTGGGGGTAGAGATTACTTTAAAAAAATAAAGAAATAAAATAAAACATCCATGACAGAGAAGGCACAATTATTCCAGCAAATACAGGAATGAATCTAAATCTCGATGCCACAATCCACGTCTCATTAACAAAGAAATCAGAGGGGCCAGACAGCCCCTCCAGAGCCAGTACCCTTCCTTCCAGCTCAGCCACAGGAGTTTCTGAGGGTGAGGAAATGGGCCACAGCCAAGCATGGGGTCTCCCTTCCCTGCCCCCTCCAAGCTCTCTGCTGGACCCAAGCTCTAGAAAAAAACAGCGTTATAAAAATACTTCTGGCTTCACTAAGACACATTAAAGAATTAATTATAAAGTAAAGCTGAAGGAGAAAATTAATTTTAGAAACATATGAGGTTACAATTTTTTTTTCCTGGAGATGGGGGAGGAAACACAGTTATTTTCGTTCTCATCCTGGGGGCACAAGCTGGGAGCTGTCCAGTCGATAACCTGGCCATCAGAACAAGGTTTGTAATTAAAAGGTCAGTGACCTGGAAAGCCAGGGCCCCACTCCCAGAGCTTCTCAGTAATGACGGAGCTATTAAATTAAGACTGTTATGAAATCAATGCTAAAAAAGCTTTCATGGTAACGAGATTCCATTCAAGGACATGCAAACTACCTCATGAAATGGACGTAAATGATAAAAAAGAAAAGTAATAAAAGAGAGTTAAATTGAAATCTGCGTAAGAATTTACTCCCCGTTGAAATACTCCAGCGAGAGCAGCCCTTCACCTCTACCCCACTACCAAGGTTGAGACCATCAGGTTTCTTCCTCAAGTTCATTTCCAGCAAGGAGGCGGCTTTGCTACCGGGGGTTCCGCTTCCAGGAACAGAAGAAAGATAAGATCTTGTTTCACCTTTTAGAATGAGAAAGGATGGTGGTGTGTCTCATTTGTTTAGTTTTCCTTTCCCCCCGGACTATTTATTAGATGAGCGAGAACACAGCCCTTTACTTACACACTTGAGAAAGGCACAATAAGCAAAAGTCTCAGCCAACACCACCCAGGCCCCATTATGCAGGATTATATAGAAAAGTGTGTGATGCTCATTGTTTTTCTAGAAGCCTGCTTTGCAACAGATAGATTAGGAGTAAGCTAACAGACAACGCTATCTTCCCCCCACCTCACCTACCCCACCCCCCAAAGAAGAGGCATCACTTTTACCCACCTTACACTCACCCTGCCAACATGTTTGGAAGCAGCCTGCCTCCTACACTTTGTGGTTGGATAGGGTGTCAAATAAACATAAGCCTATTGACAACGCTGTCCAAGCCTCTAACTTTCTAGACCGATTCTGTTGCTGTTTTTAAGCTACTCTAACCTCCTGGACTGCAGCCCACTTAAAGCCCAGACACGATGCCTGCCTGGTGAGAACCTATGCAGTCCAGTTCCAGGAGGGCTTAAACCCAACACATAGTCCAGTGATGCTCATGTGCGGCTGACTACGCGGCTGATGTGCCATCTGCAGAATCAAGTAGTTGGAAGGAAAACAAAAACGTTTATTCTAATACTCCAAAGGTGAACAGCTGCTTTTCTCTTCCACCCAAAAAATTCCCGATAAAAGAAAGAAATGTCGTAAATTACATAAAATGGCAGTACAAACTTCAAGGAAAATGATAAATGATTCCAATAACTTCATGTTTCTCATTAATGACTTCATATTCAGACTTTAAAGCATCCAAAAGAGAACTCAAAACACAAAAAACAAAAACAAGAAAACCACAAACACAGAAGACCTTTGCAAACCAAAGCTCTTGCATGTCCATCCCATCCACTCCCCACTAGCCTGCCTCCGGTCCCCTCGGTGCCCCGAATCAGAGAGCACAACATTTAACGTGTCAGTAACGGAGGCAGGCTGTAGCCCTGCTCCGGGCTGTGGTTTCACATTAAAACAAACTCAGCTGATGTGCCTAAAGTAACCCTCATTTTCCACTGAACTGACATGCACTACAGGGACCTCAATTTCTATATTAAATATTAAATAATATTAAAAGAAAAACAAAATTGGATTTGCCTTTTCAGGAAAGAGATGTTTATTAAAAAAAAGAAAGTCAAGATTATAATTCAAGGCAGTGCTCCATTGCAATTCCCTGAAGTGACATTTGCTAGGAAAAGCCAAGACTACAGTAGCTGCAAGCTCGCCCAAAGCCAGCGCTCCAAACCCACCCCTGCAACGAGTCCTGCTGCGGGGGAGGCATGCGGAGGATGCCAGAACCTTGGTCCCTCCCCTCAGGACACCCTCCCCGCCCCCACAGACCAGCCCGCCAACTCTTTCCTTCCCAAGTACAGTCAGGGACAGGGGAGACCGGCTCCTTCGCAAAATCCCCTCCTCCCTCACCCCATTGGAGCCGGTGCCAAGCTCCGCGGACCATGTACACCTGACCCAAGGAACAACCGGAAATTTAAAAAGTGAAGTGTAAATCCACGAAGGGGCGCTTCTTCCCCAGACGCCAATCAAACCATGGAATCCTCTGCCCAGAAAAGGTCCTGCCAGAACTTACCCTATTGGGACTCAACTCGGAAACAGATAATTACTGACTGAAGCAGCATTTTACAGGATAATGGAGATGGGTGATTACGGCCAGTGATTCTGGACTGAGGCTCAGGGTAGACTCCTGTGGCTCTCTTTAGAGGAAGAAGGGTAGGAGGCCTCTCCAGGTTCCTGCTGCCTGAAATTCTAAAAACTCTCATCCACATTAGGGGTCAAGGAGGAACTGTGCCCACTCCACACTGACAAATACTCATCTCCCTCTTAGAGAGGCATGCTCCGGTCGCCCTGTCTAGGTGTGAAAGCCGTTCCCACCCCAGCGCTGGTGCTCCTCAACCCCGGGCGCCTGGCATTATTTTTCTCCGTGGCGCTTGTCACTCGACATACAATGGATCTCGTTTTCTCATTGGTTAATTGTCTGCCTTTCCCCCTTAGAATGTCAGCCCGGTGAGGGCAGGGATGCTGTCTGCCCTCTTCTCTGCTGAGTCCCTGGGGCCCAGAACAGGGCGTGTGCAGGGCAAACACTCTCCGATGGATTAACTAATCGACTGGTTTTGTTTTGCGTTATATTTAAAGGAGCAACAAATAATAATTGCACAAAACAGTTTCCTCTCCACAGTAATTATTAGCCAACTAACTCAAAAGAAGTATTATTTGGTCCAGAGTTTCTCTCTCTCTCTTTTTCCTCTCCCTCTCCCAGTCAGGGATTTATTAAAATTAAACAGATTAGATGGAGCTCCTGATACTAAAACTGCTCAGCAAAGCCTGCGGTGGGGAAGTGCCGAGCAAACACCAGAGACATTTGTCTCTAAATTGCTCTAAATACCTTCTGCAAATGAAATTCTAACCCAGCTGCGTTTGAAAGAAAATGAGGAATAACTGGTCATTGTCAGTGGAAGAGAAGATCAGGCAGTTATAATACCGCACAATATACTGGGGCAGAGGATCTCTCGGCAACCATAGATTTTGTCTCAGGTTACCCCGGGTAATCAGCACAGCTTTTAGGCTCAGCTTTCCCCGGCTTCGATGCTTTGATGAGAGAGCTGAAATCCCCAAGCTTTTATGATTAATTACTCCCCATAGGTACACATATTTCAAGGAAAAACTCTTTTATGGCATGATGGTTGCGGAGTGGAGAGGCCGGCCAACGCACTCCAAATTGTAATAACCACCTACGGATGGGGGGCGAGCACGATGCCGCCAGCAAATGCACAGTGCCCCTCACCAACTCCGTCGCAGGGGCCAGCCCTGAGGCTGCCTCTGAACAGATGCCTGCGAATGGAGAGCTTCAGGCTCATTCTGCCCCAGTGCCAAGGGTGCAGGCCTGGGACACGGTCCCGCAAGCACCTCTGTGGTGGAACGCCAGGGAGCAGACGGAGGAAACACCACCAAACCACTCCGTCTTCTATTTCCAGCCACAGATGACTTAAAGCTCACAACCTCAAATTCTGAAGCTGACATTCCAGCTACTGAAGGAAAAGGAGTTTTGTTTAGGGGCGGCGGAGCGCGGCGGCAGAGCGGAGGAAGAAAACTCATTCCCCCCACCATGGTGTATAAGGGCCTCCACACAACTTTCCAGCTTTCTAGAAAATTAGATGTTCAAAGAGTGAAAAGTCAGATTCCTTTTTTTGTTTGTTTTGGGGTTTGTTCTGTATTTTACAGAACAAGAAAAATATCCTAAATTGCAACAGAGCTAGAAGAGATTCTTTCTGCTTTGGACAATATTGAATTTGTCAAGATCCATTTAATCCCTGCTTACAGAAATACCATAAAACCAGTAATTTACCACTTCAATCCGTAAATCAGACTGACCCCAAGCTTGACCTTAACCTGACCTTGTTTAGTCATCTCATTTCCCTCGTCTTTCAATTTCTTTCTTCCTGATTCTTTACTGAGGCAGCTGACCTCCTAACCTAAAGCCAGTCACTGTGTAGCCAGGGTCATATTATCAGAAGAACGGACCAGAAGCAGAAGTCCTCCACAGTCTCATCCAATGGGCCTCTTCTTGATGCCAGTACCAGGCTGTCCTGGGCTAAATTGTTGGCCTAACACCTGGTGCTGGATCATCCAGACAGTATCATCTCTCTGCTCCACTGTAAGGAAAGAAGCCTGCATTCCCACTGAGGGGGCTCCCCTCACCCCCACACCAGTGGGACAACTACGGAAGGTCCTCTCAGCAACAACGTGGCTTTCGTCTGCCCCGTCCCCAGTCCCTTTCTGCAGGCCACACTGTATGGCCTTGGGAAACCTGTACCTTTCTTCTTAAGGAACGCTCTCCTGGTCGCAAGTGGGCTCTGGCGGACCCGGGAATTCTGTAGAAACTTCATTGCTGTGGCAATCTGGTCAGGGAGATAAAAGAAAAAAAGTAAACTTCAATAGGCTGAATTTCAAGATTAAAAATCCTACCAGTTTATCCCAGGTCCAGAGAAATAGGCACACCACTGTGGTCAAATATATAACCAGTTACTTCTCACATTTAAAATCTACCTAAATAAAAGACTATGTCAGGTCCCACTGGCTCCCTGTATCTGATTCTATCAAACCTAATCTCCTCAGCCTAGCTTTTAAGACCTGCAATAATCTTTTCCTCTTCTCCCTGTTCAAGCTGTCTCTTCATACTCCTCGGCAGGTAGCCCTCTCCTGGCGATGCTCATCCATGTCACTGCACTTGTGCTCAAGCTATGCCCTTGTTCTAGACAGCCTCCCTTTCCTGCCTCTACCTGTCTAAACATTGCGTACACACACACACGTACACGTGTACAAACGCGCACACACGCACACCAGCACAGCCCTTTTACAGCCTGTGCTAACTCCTCGAAGTCTTCCCTAAATAAGCAAGCCATCTCTGATCTCCCTATTCTCTTAAATTCTTTGATGCTCGTAGTGTGTACCATATAATTGAAGACATAATCATACTGCCTTCTAATGTTCAGGCTGCCTCCCCAACTACACTGCAAGCACCCGAGGAGAAGAGACCACGCTGCCTCCACAGAGCCTGGCAAAGTGCTGAGCAGAGACCGGCTGGGAAGGATTATATAAGAGACAACGGCACCCAGCCATTCACACCGGTCCCTCTTATGCAACGGAGCTCAGTCCTGAAGAGACTTCAAAGGACAAAGTTTGGGGTTTCGTAGCTAAAAGCTGACAGATTGACAGACAATCCCCCTACCTCTGGTAATGATATTATTTAATGAAATCTTCATATCTACAAATAAGCCAAGGAGGGGGTGGGAGGAAAACTGCTGAAGGTATTAACCTTCGGCGTGTGTTTGCACGCCGCCTGTGTGCTCTCCGTCCCGCGCACTAGTGCAATGCGGGGGGGACACGCCAACCTGCCCCAGACAGGAAAGGGGCCGTTTTAAATGGCTGGCATTATTCATCTCATCAAGACCAAAAGAATAATATAGTCTTGTGTTACAGGTAAAGTCAACAGACCCTGGAGTTCACTCCTAAGCTGTTGAAAGAAAACATTTCTAAGGGACCAAATATAAGGAACTTTTCTAAGATCCTTCAGACTAAGGGTAGCAGCTATCCAGAGACTCAAGCACAAAGTACCGTGACTATCAATGGAACACAACTTACAAATATTCTATTTTATATGAATTTAATCCTGAGTCCAGCCAGGCTTCCCTGGTAGCAAAAGATAGGAGGATAAATGAGGGAAAAAAAAAACACAAAAGGCCAGGGCAATTCCCTTATGTACCTTCCCCCATAATCCCTCTATTGGAGGCTAGCCTGAGACATTCTCCCTGAAGGATGAATTCAGGTGTCCCAGACCTTTAGATTCGGGCCTGGCGGCGATAAGACGCACTCGTGTTCCTAGAGACTGGTTGTAATTCGTCCAGCATTGCAAACTCTTAACCCGCATCATGAGCTGCAGTGGTAACCAGCCAGCTCTGGACTAGAGAGAAACCCATGCTCCAGATTCTAGACCCCCGAACTCCACATCCCACGCCCCCTCGGCCCCTCAACCACATCGCCTCGGGTCGCACCAAACTTAAGAATAATCTGACACACATCTACAAAACGGATGCGTTCTAATGAAGCGATGGGAGAAGGGAGAGAAAGAAGAGGAAAACAGAAGAGGGACTGGGGAGCAGGAGGGAGCGGCAGGGGAGAAGGCGGCCACTGGACAAGTGGAGAAGGCAGAGGAGCTGGACCAGAAGGGGAGGCAGAAGAAGTGGGGAGAGGAGAAGTGGGAAGGGGACGTGGGGAAGGAGGAAGGAGAGAGACAAGAGGAAGAGAGGCCCAGGTCCAGGAAGGAGTGGACAGCTACACCGTCACAGGCCCCACGGGGTCAAAGGCCATCGGCCTGGTTCAGATGGCTCGGGGATGACTGCTCTTCACCTGGAGAAAAAAGCGCACCTTCCACACACAAGACAATTACAGCACCAGTCCCATGCGGCGGTGGCCGCACGCGGCGACGTGTGCACCAGGTGTCAGAGGGACTGTGGATGAGCGGCCCTTAAGCAGCAGACATTAACAGCACGGCTCCTCTCATTTACCCATAGAAGCATCGCCCTTTCCTTCATCCTTCCAAAATTTTCCGTGACAGAGGAAGAAAACAGAATCCCACCACTAAAACGCACAGGTTTCACCTTGCTTTTTTAATATAGTCCTTGGTATATGCATTTCTGGTCAGAGAGCAAAGTTCTGATGGGTTTAATGGTGCACTCAATGCAGCGCCTGGCGCATTCCATCAATTTTTTTTTAAAAATTGCATCTCTTAGTTCTTTAAATACATTAATCAGCCTAGTGTAGGCAAAACGGATCCATCGGACAATGCAATAAACATGAATTATCATCTATCCAACACGCATAATGGCTTAAAAATACATAATAGCAGGTGTAGTTTAAATGATTAGTTATTACACCTGTGGTGGGTCTGATTCAATTGGGAAAAATCATCTTTAATAGGTTAAAAGGTTTAGATCACCATGCTTTCCTTAAAGTGGCTGTAGAGAGGGAATGATGGAGTGCTCTGTCATTAGTAATTCATTTAAGAAAAACGTGGGGGATATAGCAAAGAACAGCATAAACGAGCGAATCCAATTTAAACATCAGGTAAAGTAGAAAACACCTTTTAAAAAAGCAAGATAAATGAATTCGGAAGGGAGATGAAATTGACGTATTTATTTTAACGGGAATTTGACAAAGTCCCGGCACACTTCAAACTTGCAAAAATATGAACAATTTCTTTTAAAGTTTCCATTCACTAATTTCAAGCCATATAAAATCATACTGCCAAACACCTACATAAAGTATATTTGGGGCTCGTTTATGTTCCTCTTGATCTTTGTCTGAAAATGCAGGCGACAGGCAAATCACACATTTAACAGCATCTATATCACTACGCCAGATGCAAAAATATAAAGCATCCAAACTAACAGCCTCAACATAATGTGCTGAATAAGAAAGATACCCAGATAAGCAGCTACATGTAAGTGTGAACATATGAAAACCTCTCTCCGCTGTTCACTAATTATTTCTTCGGCTACTCTTTACTCCCCCACCCCACCCCTGCCGCCACAACAGGGGGTTAAGGCCTGTCCAATCGGAATTTTATATGCCCGGGGATTCATCCACAGATGGTAAAAGATCTCCCCCAAATCTTTACCCACAATGCAAACGTTTTAGCACACTAAGTAACTGCCAGCACCCTCAGTCCGCATCTTTCATTCACCCATGGTTGGACACTTTTCATTAACTTCATGAAGCAACTCAACTGACTCTTCCTCTGCAGAGGTCCAACACACACAGCGTGCTTTTGTTGGCCGAAGGGATGGGGTGCCTGCAGCCTGTCCTGTATTATCATTTGATTTTCTAATTAGGAGATGAATGTGACTATTCATGGGTTATATCTGTGCCCAACTAAATTACATAAATTCAGGCCAAATCTTCCGCCTCAATGTCAAAGATGTAAAACGGAGACAGGAACTTTATTGCACATGTCGTGGGAGTGCAGTAAGCCAGGGAAGATTCTGGCGCAAAGCACCTGATGCCGCTGTGGGAAGCCACTCGCCTCTGAGTCCACGAGAAACGTGGAATCGGCTTTCCTTTCCCCTCCTCTTGCACTGAGAGTTCCTAATGAGTGCACCTCGGATTACCAGGAGCTGCACCATAAAAATACAGACGACGAACTCGGAAGAAAACAGAAGCAAAGTTTCTCGCCACCCCTATTTCCGTGACCCTATCTTCTGCCTCCCTCCCCCAAAAAGCAAAATAAAAGCACCCCGGCACCATCAAACTCCTCAGTCTTAGGGAAATTTGATCATTTTCCCTGTTTATCACTAAAGTGACTGCCTGCCTCTGCAATGGGCGTGCTGGAGGGACCGCTGCAGCCAGGAGGAAGAGGGGACTTGGGGCTGAAGGACACCTCTGGACCCCAGATGATCAGCCAACCGCGAGAGACCCTTGTTTGAGAGCCCAGGATTTGTGACTGTAAATCAATGGAATACAGTATACTCGGGGGCTCTCTACGATGAACTAGGCGCTGTTAAATGCACTGTGTAGGGTAAGTAATCCCTGGTGAGAAGAATCGAGGTTCTGGCAGTCCTCGCTGAAGAGGTGCTTCCTATGTGTTTCCCACTCTCCTACAAAAGACCTGCACACTGTAATCTTCAGAACATACGCTTTATTTTCTGCACGAGGGGGACGGGAGAACAGAGCTTGCCTAATAACGAGCCTGGGGTGTGAGGAAGCCTGAGCACTTTGCACCTGACATGTAAACCGGATGCATTGTCTCCAGTGACACTTATTTGGAATGCCACCAATTCCAGCACTCCTGTGTGCTACATACACATCTATCTCCTAAACTGTGAGCATTCATGAGCCATTTTAAAATATTAAAAATATTCAAAAATTAATGACACTAACAACCAAAGCCAAGTCCTTTTTAACCCAGAGAGATCACAACCGGAGGGCAAAAGAAACGACCGATGTGCGGGCCTGAACCCCCACTCCCGACGCTGCGCCGGCGCACGTGCACTGCTCAGAAGATTAAATTGCCTGTGAAAGGTTCCTATGCTCGTGCTCTAAAGTAGATAGATACCCAGCATCCTGTTAACAAGCGTTAGACCAAAGCCAACTCGAGTTTTAACAAGGACTGACTTTAAAAGCTAGGCAATGCTGAGAATGAGAGCACCCTCTTCAAACAGAAATGCTGCATTTTAGTAAGAAATCAGTACTCTGTCAGGAGTTCCTTGACAAATATGGTCATCGGTGGCACAAGGAAATAGTTGCAAAGCAGCTGTTAATCAGAGAAACACATCGTAGAACGCTGATGCTAGCACTCGTGAAAAAATGCAACGGGCTAATTATGAAGCTATATATCTCACTA